GGGAGGAGGGTCCATCCCAGTGTGGCAATCTACACACTTCCACCCATTGAGGCACTGCCAAGGCCCTATCGGATGAACAATGCCATGTACTATGATCATCATCACTGCTACTACTGTACCCCTCCCGTAGGCGATGATCTCCAGCATAGGCCAGATAGAGACCACTTTCAAGGATGAGCGTCGGGCTCATGTGCTCGAGGTCGATGCAGTGCGAGGGGAGGCAGAGAAGAAGCTGTCCGAAGTCGGGCACCGCTGGTCTGCTCAGTAGCGCTTATTAGCTTTTCATCAGGCATGGAGTGTACAGCGAGAGCTGCGTACCGAGCTGGAGAGTGCGAATGCTAGGTAGGGACCTTACAGGTTGGAGTCGATCATGAACGGTCATATAGGCTTTCTCTCATGGTGGAGGAGAGCCAGAGTCAGAGGAAACAGCTCGAGGTGGCTCAGCGAGAACGTGAAGCTGCTTGGGAAGCATTGAAAGCGAAAGTGAGGTTGGAGGAGTTCTTGGCAGTCGCCGAAGGGTGATATGATAGGAGAAGGAGCTGGCTGTTGCCCACGAGATGAGGAGGAAGGAGGCTAAGTTGGCAGAGGAACGGTAGATGAGGCTCTTATGATGGACTCCTCTACCATAGTTGATCGCCAATGGCTGAGCTCAGCGATGGATGAGGTAGATACGAGTCTCTGGAGGAACGCAGTCAGCAGGAGTTGACGGCCGAGAGAGATCATCGTCGGGTGGAAGGCGAGGCGGCTCGTGTGGAGGAGGCCAGGCTGATGAAATGTATAGGGGACAAGGAGAAGACGATAAGCGAGGTATCACTCGTGAAGGTGGGAGGGAGGGGCAGCCCTCTCTCATTGGTAGAGTTGCTATGGGGTGTTGTGGTGGCAGATGTGGGCAAGCATCGAGCAATATCGAGAGAATATGGCGACGATCAAGGCAAAGGCTATCAGGACGGCCGAGGAACAAAGGCGAGATATAAAAGCTGAGTAACGCCCCTGCAGAGTACGTATTCCGCGATATGTACGTCTACAGGATGGGTCGGCTTGAGAAGGAGCTCGCCGTGAGGGATGAGAGAATATCAGCATTGCATTCGGAGGGAGAGCGGCTGAGAGGTCCCAATGCAGAACTAGAAGTGTGTTGAAGGCCCTAGAGGGCCACAGGGAGGCATGTTGTTGGCAGTCGTTGGTGGAGGGGCTTGGGAAGGAGCTGGCTGAGTGTAAGGAGTGGCTGAGGTTGAAGGAGATCGGGTAGCCTTACACAGAGAGAATTCTTCCCTGTGCGCAGCGTATCTTTCGAGTAGTTATGAGGAGTTGGCGCAAGAT